TTTCCCCTCCCATGTCCTCCTCGTTTTCTCGCGCTGCTCCTTTCCTTCCGCGGCCTCGTGTTCGTTCTTTGTGCCTCCTCCCCACCCCTGGCAGCTGCTGAGCGTGGGTGGCTGATCCCTTGAACACGGGGAAAACGCACACTCTGCAGTCTGTACCACCAGACTGCGCTAAATTGCCAGCTGCTTTTTTGGAATTGAGTTTTTCCTAGGCCTTATGCCAAACAATCCGTGCCCATGGAAGATCCAGCTGCTTCAAGCTGCTCAAGAGTCCAGCCTCATCCATTGCTGCCATTTTTTCCTTCCTGCCCCTTTCACACTCTTGCATACCTTCCTGTGTTTTTGGTTTTTTTTTAACTGCCTCGTGCAGATCACACCCTTTCACTGTACTTTCTTGTTCCCCCTTCTGCCACTTCCCCTTCTCCCTGCCCCACAGGAACACATCCATTTTTCTATGAATAGGTTTCTTAGCTTCTGCCTCCGTGAAAGGAACATCCCTTCTGAAACAGGACACTGGTGAAAACTGTCCTCCAGAGGAATGGAAGGAGCAGCAATGAAAATTTCACTCCCTACAAATGGCACAGGAATGGAAGAGGATTGATGTGCCAGCAGGTGTTCTGTCAGGGTTCTTAACAGAGCAGCTCTGCAGATGTGACACAGCAGGCAAAGACAGTCTCATTTCACACCTCTGGGAAGAGCTGGCCAGAAGAGAACGAAGAGTCTAACCTGAGTCAGAGCAGGGATCAGAAAAGCTCATGGTAACAGTGGCTCTGAGGGGGAGGAGAAACAGGTGAGGGGAGAAAGGCCTGGATTCTTACCTTGCTTCCCAGCACCAGCTCCTGCAGCCAGATCAGGAAGGTGGAACACGAACACCCCCTTTAGCTCTCAGCCCTTCCCTGGGCTGTGATTCCAGTCCTGCTGTGGACTGCTGGTGGCTCAGAGGGATCGTGCACAGCTCTGGGAGCCCAACTGCACCTTGTAGGGAGGCAGTGAAAGGGACTGCAGCCTCTGCACCGCAGCTCATACGAGTGTTCCCAGCCACTCCATGCTCCTGTGTTCCAAAATAAGGCTCAACAAGCTTTTAGCAAGTATTTTCTTTCAGAGAGCAAACATTCAATCAGCAAAGATACATCTGTATTTTCCTATGTTACTTAAAGAAAAACAAAACCACCCGTAGCACAAAAAGTCACTAATGCAAACTTTTCCATCCCTTTTTAGTATCAGAACTAAAAGCAGGAACTGAAGAAACCCACAAACCCTGACCACCAGCAGCAGTGATGCAGTTAGGCACGGAGTTTCAGGATCAGGGTGGATCTCAGGGAAAGGTTCTTCCCCCAGAGGGTGGTTGGCACTGAACAGGCTCCCCAGAGCAGTGGGCACAGCCCCAAGGCTGCCAGAGCTGCAGGAGGGTTTGGATGATCCTCTGGGGCACAGGGGGTGACTCTTGGGGATGGGCCTGGATGATCCTTGTGGGTCCCTTCCAGCTCAGCATATTCTGGGATTCTGTGATAGCAGGAAGCTGATGTTCCACTGCTGGATCAAACACTTCACTCTTTATCCCTGGGTAAAGCTTTGAGCTGCATTAATTTGAAGTCCAGGGTAGAAGGCATAGAGGCAAATAAGCTAAGGAACATTTGAGATCAGCAGAAGCTGCCTGAATGTTTAGTCAATATAATTAGGAGTAAGGATAACAAACTGTCTTAGTTAGAAACAGTCTCATCAACAGAAATTAAGGGGAAAACGTTTGTTTTTAGGGAACTGCCAAGCTGAGTGCTTCCCTAAAACTGAGGTAGCATGGACCTGAATGCTGGAAGACTGTTTACCCTCAAATTTCAGTATTAAACCACCATGAGTAAGGTTTCATGGAGAAGACAGAGAAGAAACTATCTTTTTAGTGTCAGGCAATACAAAGCAGTGCATGCTTAAATAAACTGCTGGTTTTTTCTTCTCTCCTTAAAATTAATTATGAAGATTTGTAATTCCTCAAATAGATTCCTGTTTGAAAACAGAAGTGATCCATTTCAAGAAAGATTTGAAAATACTGAGAATAATGGATCGTACAAGTGCCAGCAAGAATTTATTTTAAAAAGTTCTGTTCTTTCAATTTTTTTTTTCTCTTATGATCTCTTTAAAACCATATATTAAATCATCAGTTTGGAGTTTTCTTCCTGCCTGTTAAGCCTGTTGCAGTAGTTTAGCCTAGGACATTCACAACTCTAATGTCCACCCGCTGACATGTATTTTAAAATTAACATCAGAGATTAGCTTTGCCTCTGAAATACTCCTAATATCTGGAAACAGATCCAGCTTGTTTGTTGCCTTTTGTGGGTTTTTGGATTTTTTTTTTTTTTTAACACGGTTACTGGACTTAAGACATTTTACAACCCCCCTCACTCGATAATTATGAAACCTGGCAGCTTAGCTGAGGAGCAGCATGTCCTGAGCTCACAGGGCTGGGCAAGGGAAGGGGCAGAGCAGGTCTCAGGTTGCCTTGGTATTTCTGGGGGAAATTTGCAGTTGCATGCCCCCCCCCCCCACCTCCTTTTCCTGGGAAAGGACTGCAATGCTTTTAGAAGAAAAGAAAGAACCAGGATGAAGTCATCTTCTGAGTGGTTTGTACGTGAGTGATTTTCCCAACAAGCACTAATGAATGTTTGCTTGAAGCTTTTGTAGATAAACACTAATAATAACACTCAATAATAATAATATGATCCATGATATTAACTAGCTACTTTGATTGGTTTGAGCTCAGAGAGATGATCTTCACACTGTTGAATTGTCTTTTCTAAGTTCTTGGTGGAAAAATACCTTTTCTTGGTCCTGCAGGGCAATCTACTTCATCACAAGAATGTGAATATATTTTCGAAACTACAACTCCTGTAAGTATTTGTGTAGCTGAGTTTTACCATCTTACCTACTGGGATCTCCAAAAAGCACCTGTGTCTTAGTTTTCGTTGCCTTCATCCCACAAAACCAGGTCTACGGGGACTTGCAGGTCTCCTCTCCTCTTTGGGCGTCTCAGCACATCCAGAACTCCTCCCTGTTCCTCCCCTGGGAAGCGCACTTTGTTTTCATGCCTTACTTGCAAGAAACGCTGCTGCTGCTGCATTCCTGACTCCACTGCAAGCTCAAGTGTGACATTCACTGGCAGATTCCTTTCCTGGAGACTGACTCCAGCCACAGCTGCAGCTGGAATGCAGCTGGTGACCCACCCTCCATCTCTGCACAGGCAACGCTCCCCCCAGGCACAGGGAGGGGAATTTTCTGCACAGAAAAGAGTCAAAGAAATTGATGTTTTAATTAGTAGGCATTCACCAGACAGGCTTTTAATCTAAATATTCTCCTTTTGTTCTCCCATCTTCTTTCTTACTAAGGCATTCTGGAATTGCGCTGTTGGACTGTTTAACAGGCCTGCTCTCACGGCAGATGGATTTACACCGTGTTTCTTCCCTAGATCATCCTGCAGGTAAAGCTCCTGTTTTAGAAAATGCAGAACTCTACAGGCAGGGCTCTGCTGGATCACTGCACCCCACTGAACAAGTGTTGTCAATGTCCAAGGAAGAACTGGCATCTTGCCCTCCAGGTATAAACTGGGTTGAGGAGCTGGTGTCAGGCAGGTGGGCTGCTACCAGGTAGAGAAATCAGCAGAACGGTTCTGGGAACCCCACCTGGGGACAGAAGAGTCACTAATCTAGAGTATAAAACCAGGTTTAATATTTCTAGGGGGCCAATATCAAGTCACTGATCTGGGGTACATTTTTGTGTTAACGGGGCAAACCTCAGCCTTGCCCTCAGACTTGGGGCATTCTCCTTTTGTGAGTTTGTTTGTTGACTCCACTGGACAAACATCAACTTAATGCTTTTTCACAGAATCCCTGACTGGTTGGAAAGGGACCTTAAAGACCACTCATTCCACCCCCCCTGCCACCAAAACATTAAGTCCTACCCTTCTTTAACACGGACGAGGTACAAGTGTTTGCAAAGCTCTTCAGTGACACACGTGAAACCAGCCTGGTCCAGGCCAAAACTAACCCAGGAAGACCTCATGGAATGACAGGGGATGGTTCTCCCTGAATACGAGCACAGAGAATTAATTTTCTAGCTCTGCAGCAGACGACATGCAAAGCATCCAGTTTCTCCCAGACAGAAATCTCTGAATATTTGGCCTCCCGCCGAAAATCACTCTGGCAGACGACTTAAACCACAAAACCAAGAGGCAGAACACGCAATTCCTTTTCTCTTTTATTGCTCCTGCCAATGTGACCACCTTTACGCAGGCACATCGCTTTCCTACATTAAACACTGTTTCATTAATCCGGAAGCAACGTTTTTTTTGCCCTCTACCCCCTCCTAAAGTTATCCAATTAACACACACTTATCCTTTTAAGAAGTTCCCACGTTTTCTCTTTAACTTTTTTTTTTGTTTGTTTGTTTGTTTTGTTTCTCAGATCTGTGTAAAGGTTACTTGGCAAGATTACATGCATATGACGTTAAATGGAGACCAACCCACCACTAAAAGGTAATGCACATAGAACATAATACAGTACTTTGACATCATTTCAAATAAATACCCACATACAAATGTAGTAATTTTAAATGCAACAATATTTCTTATGAACCAATACTGTAACAGAAGATGGAAATATATAAAGCCCCCACATCTAGGAATAATAATAATGCTCTTTCCAGCAAACAGAAATCTCTTCCAGGCCCTCAATATCGGTTCAATTTGACCTTTTTTTTTAAGTTTTTTTTTTCTTTTTTGAGAGGAGCGGGAGAACTGCGTCCCCCCCCACTACCTCCAGCAAAGTACCAATTGAATCACTCCCCCAGGAGCCTCAACGAGCCCGCTGGCAGGGCTGGTTGACGCTCTTCCCAACCGTTTCTGTTTGCTGAAGTCACACCTGGGTACAAACATGCACGAGGAGATGTGGATGTGCCGCGCCCACACCCGCACGGGGCCGGCCAACACCGGCCCACCCGGCTCCCCACCCGCAGTCGGGCTCCTTTAGCTTCGTGGTTTTGTTTTTTTTTGTTTGTTTGTTTGTTTGCTTGCTTGTTTTGTTTGCTTTCTCTACACCCCTGAATTTGCACGATGAAATATCATTGACTAACAGAATTTTTTACAATTCCTTGAATATATAATCTCTCTAAGCACGACTACCGTTAAAAATGTGCGAAAGGGGAGGTCACTTTGCACTTATTGCTCCACATCTTTGAACAAATCCCAAAAAAACCCAGCCGTTTCGTTCCTCCTAAGTGACAGGACTTGGCCTAAACGCTACTCTAAGAGTCTCCCTTCAAATGATCAAAGGCACTACTGGCAATAATGAGTGACAGAAAGGCGCTGATAGATAACACCCTATCATTGACCACTTTAGAATTTTTCTCTCTAAATGTACCACAATTTGGCACAATAAAATGAAAAAGTAACAAAACAATTCCAATTTGGAATTTCACTGGTATAGTTGTATAAAATTCTGTTAATCAATAATACTTCGGCTTCCTAAAACCCAGGAATTCTGGAATTTATAGGTAATACTACTTATTTAATATTTTTCAAGTGCCTATTACTGTTTTAACCAGAGCAAAGTCAAGTTTTCTTCTTGTTACATTGAACTATTCCTAAGAATAATAATACAATATGAAAAAAACCCCAGAATTTGAATACCCTGGATTTCTTAATGAACATGGCAGTTAAAAAAAAAATCAGTAATTTAAACATATAAAGCTTAACATTTTATAATAATAAAAAAAGATGCTGAAGCACAGCACATAGTTTAGCAGAGCTCCTGTTTTTTTTTTTGTTGAAACTCTTTTCTAATCACAATCTAGAGCCCCCCCAAAAATCTCTGCCACATGCTGATATATAATTCATAAATCACAAGTTCCAAATTGGAGAGAGAGAGACTATGAGCACAAACCACTGCATTTATATAAACTCTTCTACATAAGGAATTAAAGAAGCTAAAGAAAAAAAAAAATTATCAAAAGTGCACAGGTTTAACAATCAGGTAAAAAAAAAATGAGCATCTGCAATGAAATAAATTTCCCCCGTCCGACATTTCTAGGAGAGCACACACTAACACGGTGAGCGTTACATTTGAAGGAGGTTTCTTCAGCACTTGTAAGGTTTCTTACTGCAGCAGCACTTATTAAGTAAAGCTTGTTTTGTTTTGTTTTGTTTTGTTTTCATAGCTTCAGGCAGAAAGGGAAGGGTTCAGGTAGTATGTGGGAAAAGGTGTTTTCAAAAGTTAGGGTCGGGTCAGTGGTTTCCACTCTGCAATGGGCCAACCACTTTGAACCAGAGTGAGGAAGGCTAAGAAATGCTGTTGCACTGTTGGAAAGGCCTTCTCCAGGGACTACTCTACAGCTGAAAAATGGAAAAATAAAATAGCATTAGGAAAAAAAAGAGAATCAAATAATAAAAAAAAAATTAATCAGTGTTTATTTCTCACTTCAAAGAACTGAAAACTTAAGCCCATGTGCAGGTTAGTTGGCTGACGGTGTGTTAGCTGGCTGGGGGAGCAGCAGCCAGGCCACCTTCCCAGCTGGGGGAACAAGGCTCTGTGGGTTCAGCCTGGAAGCAACAGCTTTGCAGAAAGAAGGGTTCTTACAAGTACTGAATAAAGCTTTGCTGTTCAAGCACGAGTTAACAGCCATGGGTGCACAGGAAATGTTTTCAGTGAAGCTTTAGGTTCTCCAGAAACATGCAGGTCAGTGTGGCATGCAGGCCTACGCAGAGAACCATCCAGAAGAGCCTGCTCGCAGAGGTAGGTGATGATGGCTTAAGGATTTTTCCATGCTTTATCCCAACCCGTTAAGGACTGATAGGAAAGACTTACACAGCAAATGAATGTCTCAAAAGAAGAAGAAGAAAAAAATCTTAATCAAGAATTAAAAGACTCAGTCTTAAATATCCTCTAAAATTACAAACAGCAGGATCGAGTCACTTTCCGCTGTTCTTTGTTTTCTGACAGGATGAACCATGAGGGTGACAGACTCGAAAAGCAGTCAGGCTGGCTTTTGGGGGTTTTAAAAGATAGGTGTTTGGGCTAACAGCAAAACTGTTCATACTTGGATCTGAAATAATGAGCCAAGCCTGACAGCAATAGTCACCTGCCTGGTAACACCGAAATCTTTACAGAAAATTCCAGATAATTTGAAAAAAAAAACCAAACAAAAACAAACCCTAACAATGCATTCAATTATGCAGCCAGTTTATCCTTTTGCCATTAGCATTTTGCAAAAATACTGTCATTAGAGACATGGAAGCAGTGAGAACTGTGTTAAAGCTCCCTACCACAGCGGGAGCAGAACTGTGTCTGTCGGAGCAGAGGAGGTTAGCACTCAAACACCTGCTGTCACCAAGTATTTTAAAATTGTACTTAATGCAGGAAGGAGAAGAATAAAGGCCTTTTGGAAGATTGTGCAGCAAAGAAGAGAAAAGCAGGATTGAAAATCGTAAAAGATGCCTCTTCTAAAATATCAAACCTGCTATTTAGCAATATTAAAGCTCAAATTCAGGAGAATTCAGCGTTTTCTAAAAAAAGTAATAACAGACACATAGGGCCTAGTTTCTAAACCCAGAATTGCAGTTTGTTTAAACTTCCCAAGCAGTGATGTTTGAGCAACACATCAGAATTGAATCGCTTGGGTTGTTTTTTTTTTTTTATTTTCCTCCTCTCCATATCAATAAATGCAATCCTGGCTCTGGGCCGTGGCATTCTCACGGTTCCCAGCTTTGTAGCCAAGTTCCATTTGTTCAAAGTCTCATTGTACGAATTTAGAAGACTTCCCCACCCCACCCCAACACCCCTTAAAAATATCTGGGAAGCCAAAATCCCACGTGGATTTTTTTTTTTTTTTCCCCTCCTCAAGTGGGAAAACCAGCTGTGCTGTTCATTACCTCCTGTTAGCACTGGGATATCTCCTGACTAGGCAGAGGCAGCGCGGGAGCAGGGGCTGAGCATCTGCAGGGCCGGGGCAGGGGAGCAGAACCACAGCAGAGGGTCAGAACGGCCCCGGGGACCGCGTTTTAGTAACGCTACAGGCGTACAAAAGTCTTGGAAACGGAGTACAAAATGGACAGGGCTTTACATTGAAATCAAAGTCTGAGGCGAGGCACTTGGAACACTGCGGGTTAAACAAAGATCTGTGCCTTGCAGGGCGCTCCAAGAATTTTCCACAATTTTAGAAGCAACTTTTTCAATCTTTTTTTTTTTTTTTTGTTTGTTTGTTTTGTTTTTTTTTTTTTTCTTCTTGTGTAGGCACCAATTATGAAGTACACTTTTAGACTACCACACTTCTTGCAATTAAGTGGCTAAAAAGGCCCCTTAACAGCTCAATAGCAGAGGAAGGTTTGTTTGTTTTTAAAGATTAATATGGACGCTAAGCTACTTCATAAATCATTATTAGCAGGATGATCTGGTTCAATTTCCCGTGCCTCTAATGTAGAGCCCTGTGAAACACATGCTTGCATATGGAATGCAATTATCTTCTGCGTACTTTAAAAAAAACCCCAAACGATCAGAGCTCTGAAACGCTACCTATTTAGGTTAATACTGAAAGCTGTTTGTGACCAACAATGCTAGACCATAGTCACATCAATTCTACACAGACATCTTGTGTGGCTACAGTGACGCCTCAAACAGGTTCTTTCCAAAGTGTTATGCTTGCAAAGAGCAACACGAAACCACAAAGGTCCTTTCAGGACGTAATTTCTTCAAGTGGAACTGTGTACCAGGTAGGATCCCAAATCTTAAAACATTTTAAGTTTTATTATCAGGTGGGGAAAATATTGCATATTTTTAATATAAATGTGCAAGTTTTCTTCTGGTTATCCCTCCGAAGAGAGGGAAAACAGGGCGTAAATAATGTACCCTACCAAGTGTTTTTCTAGCTTTTATAGCCTATAAAAGCTTTAGGACTTTGGTCAGTGGTGATACAACGGCAAGTTGTACCAACATCTGCCACACCAGGCAAATTGTTTGATTCCAGTCTCCAAATACTCTCCAATTTTGATGTTTGCTTTTCACCACTTCGTAAGCCACAATAACAAGGAAGGTTTTCTGTTTGTTTCTGCCTGTGAAAGCATTTACTGAAGTATGCTGCAACCCTGGAGAAAGGATCACATTTGTGCTATACAAACTACAACTGGCAACACCAGGTATGCTCTATCGGGTGTACCCTCAACACTTACCATAAACAGCAAAACCCAGACGTGTTAATTGTGGAAAAAGCTAATTCCTTTCCACTATTAACTTGTTAATAGCATCCCCATACTTATGCATTAGTTACAGTTAAGAACACCATAATACAATCTGTATTACCTGGTTCCACAACATACTAGTACAAGTCAACTCACTGCGACATTAGATAGTGGGGATTTATTTACGCTGACAGTTACAGCATAAAATAAGATGCAGAATACGATTTTTTAAAATTTTTTGTTCCCCCCCCTAGACACCTGTCCTAGTCACAATAGATTTTATATTTCTCGCTACAGAACACCTGGTTGTTGAGCACAGACCCCTCGGGCCTGTCCCCGCAGGACCGAACGTGACTTACGCCGGGGTTACTGCCCTTGGCTTTGGAGGCAGATTTTGTGCGCACCCTTTTGGACTGCTCGTGGTCCAGCTCCAGGTGCTCCAGGCGCTGGGTCAAGGCCAGTTTCTGCTGGATGGCCATCCGGAGCAAGGAGTTCAGAGTCTTCTTCTCGTCCTCGGCGGCCGCGAGCTGCCGCTGCATTTCGTCCAGCTGTGTGACGTACTCGTCACATCTGCAACGAGACACATGGCCCTTTAGCAACTGTGAGCCACCAACCCCGCTGTGCCCGGCCTGTGCCAGCCCTGCAGCCACCTGCACGCACACCCCTGGATGGCAACTTCACCAGACCTGCAGGAAAACACATCTCCATCGGGGTTCTGAAAATCCCCCGCTCCGCACTCGGCGTGCTCTCAGGACGGAGTATCATTCACAGCCTCCCTGGAGGGTGGAAGTGGAGCCTGGTGTGCCTGAAGGGCAGTGAGATGTCCTCTCACAGCGAGTACAACCCAGGCAGTCACGGTACTGTTGTCTCTGCTTACAGAGACCGCAGTGGTTCCAAGCTTCGGGCCGTAGAGGGTCTGAAGGGAGTGCTGTGAAATGGCCAGTGCTAAAATGGCCACCAACACCAGCTGATGAGCACCTGAACTGGGCCATTCCTTATTTACAGAGTCCAAACGACAGATCTCCAGTGGTGGCTGAACAGCAACTGCTAAAGACAAGCATCTTTCAGAATTCTACTTCAACCAGCTCTGATTCCTAATGCAAGGATTCTATAAATAGTGGGTGTTTTCTCGGTAACAAGTGGTCTTTATATAATTTGTTTTCACCACTGAAATCTATTTTAAAACAATTAAAGGAACTGAGTGTTACTGGGAAGGCTGTGGTGAAGCTGCATGAATGCCCCAAGCTGTTCTATCTACAGTCATTGTCACTGAGCCTGGAAGCTGCTTAACTTGCACCACTAAGAACTTAAAAAATTACTGTCTTTACATGTAGATGCATACTTACTGCACAGAGGCACTTATGCATATGGGTAGAGAAATAAATATTCATAGGTACCAGCTGGAATTTACAATGGCCCTTTACAACTTCTTCATAAAACCAAAAGCATCAGTGGAGAAGTTCCTTTTAATATTGAAATGGAAGAGCCCCTGACTTTAAGGGATATTTATCGTCATTAAGTAACATAAAGCAGACTGGAAAAAAAACCCCATCCCATTGATATGCAGATTCATCAGCTGTGCTCATACTGTCAAGCCTCAAATTCTGCTCTCCCTGACTAAATAGCAGGATTAAGCCTATATTCCTAATTATATTTGCTTGGGAAGAAAAAAAAAGAAAAAGAAAAAAAAAAAAACAGAATTTTATTTTTGAATACATATGGAGATTAACCAGTAGCCTAGAAATATCCACACAAAACTGCATGAACTATAAGTGTGCTGCAGCTTCGGAGACCAAGAGGTTCTGGTGAGTTTGGGACCCCCATAAGCATGGGAATCTGTCCTCTCACATCTCTGGGCTGGAGCTCTCACAGCTTCTCCCACACTGTGCAGCCCAGAGGAAAACCAGCTGAGTGGTTTCCCCCCAACTTTCAAACACACTCGTGACATTGGAGGTGAAAAGCCAAGTCTGGTTGTATCAGAAGTGACCTTTTTCTACCCACACCTTGAATCTGGTTCCTTCCAAGCTCCACTGCTGCAAACCAGTGGAATGTCCAGACAGTGTTACCGATTCCTTGAGGAAGGGAATGCGATTGCTGCAGGAAAATATAATCTAGTACCAGAGTGGGCTGTGCCTGCTCCCCTTATTTCACGCTCACTATTACCCTCCCAAAAGATCTGGGCAAGGGGAAATTATCAGGAGGTTTTTGCTCCCCTTTTCCAGCTCCTTTCTTATGAATCAAAACATATCCCCTTTTTTTTGCACAGACAGGAAAGTTAACGCAGCCCTAAAACGCTCAGCTCAGCTGAGGCAGTGTCAGAACTGCTCCTGTCTGTTGATTTGATTTGAACCAGAGAGGTGCTAATCCAAGCCAGCCATGGCAAGGGGGGCAGATCTCTTCCCCCCACCCCATTTAGAACAGGAGATGATGAAGAGATAACAAAACCACGGCAGTGGAGCAGGGCAGGGACTGCCCACACGGTCTTGCTCGTGTTCTGGTATCACTCCTGCCTCTTCATCAAGCATAGCCAGTTGTGCCAAAGCCAGTGGCCGACTGGTGGCACAGGCAGATGCCTGACAGGGTCTAGAAGGCAATGAAGTGTTTCCTATGTGAGCCAAGCTATAATTAAAGCCAGGATTTTGACTCCAAAAGATTACTGTAGCAAGTCATTATCTCATCAAGCTTCCCGTTAGTACAAAGATTTACAACATCAAATGACTGTGCCCAGAAATTACAAGGTATTCACTATTTCAAATACCTAAATTAGCTTTTGGGTTTTTTTTTCCCCCTTTGTTTTCCATAGAATTATATTCAGGGAGTTTTTACTTCCTTTCCAGCACAAGGGAGGTGTTATCAGTAGCAGCTGCAGTTTTTTACTGTACCTGAGCAACTCTTCTCACCTACATAGGAGGGGGCTGGGGAGAGGCAGGGGTGTTAACTACTCTGCCCACACACTGCCCTGTATCCTGAAGCCAGTTTCCCGATCTTTAAGCCAGAAGGAATCACACAGCCTCACAACCCAAACCCTGTCCTGGTGCAAGCCTGGCTGTCCAGGGTCAGCGAACACCACTGTGCCAAGCACAGCAATTCTTCCCTGCAACAAAGGGCAGAGGAGTTCCCTACAAGCGGCTGCAGAAGCTGCACGCAGAGGTGGACTGGGATCTGCCCCACTTCCTTCCTTCCTTCCTTCCTGCTGCTTGCTGACTCCCAGTTTAATTTTCCTAACACCCCCCATCCCCAAACCCCAACAATGCAGCCTCCCTAAGCATCTAGGACAGCACAGGCTCTGGCACTGCTTTAGCTCTGGCAGCAGCAGCTCTGGCAGCACATCTTTGTGCTCTGGGTGTGTGTATTTTCAGTGCTCTGCAGACAGAACAATAAAGGCTCTTTCCCTTCTGCAGTTCCATGTGCCACCTGCTAAGCTACTTCCCTGCTGTACATCCGATAAAGCCAGAACAGGAGATGTCTTTGTTTTAAGAACACCTTTGAAAGAAAATAATTAAGCTTTCATGCTTTTAGGATGGATACAAAATTAGCATAAGCCTGTTGTACTTTCACACATTCACAGCTTTAAGTGGATAGTGAACACAAGGCTTTGATGTAGCCCATTTTCTCACTGCTGGCAATTAACAACAACAACAATAAAAAAAAGAAGCTTAAGGAAACTTCAAATAGATTTTTAAAACCACCATCGGCTAAAACAAAAATCTACAAAGAGGAAATAAATACCCTAAGTGTTAAATGCGACGATTAGAAATTAAATACTCTAAAACTCTCTCTGAAGCCAAATTATTGAAAAACCTAACAATGGCTTATGGCATTTTCCAAAGCTCCACACCAGTGCTTCCCACAAACACCGGTTGTGCCTTATTCTACAGACCAGTTTATGGAAGCTTTAGCATGTACTGGTTTTAGTACCATTTACAGCTAAATTCACCAGTAAATCAAGGTCTGGTGCAGGGGGGGGGGGGAAAGGTGATGTAACCAAATGCACCCGGGCATAATCATACTTTTCCCTCTCCCCTGCAATCAATGAGAACCATGTGACAACTTCCAAGGAAGCAAGACAGATGTGACTGAAGGAGGAATCAGAGAGAAGCATCAACTTCTCCCACCTTGAGAGATCAGACTGTCAACCCACATAAGAAATTCAAATGTGGAGGATTAACATCACAATTTCTCAGCTTTATTAAAAGCTGGGAAATGTACTAGCAAAGACACAGCCAAAACGATATGTAAATGAGCACTGACTGCGTTCATCTGTAAGAGATCAGCCACATGCTGCTTCTAACTCTTGATATTAGATATTAATATTAAAGGCTGATTTTTAACACCTTCTCCCCACCTTCCCCTTAACCCAACCCCTGTTGAAAACCAGCTCATCTGCAGAGAGAGAGAGAGAGATAATCTGTGCTCCCAGAGGAACACAGGGAGGAGGGTTACGACAGCAATAACGCGACAGAAGCTCCTTTCACAGGGAGCTCTGCCTCCTGGGGCACATGGGGTGCACCAGAGATGGGCTCCTCAGCACCCAGGGCACATCTGGAGCCAGCCTGTACACCATTTGGATGTTTCAGTGGAAGAACAGAAGGGAGTGACAGCAGAAGACGGGCCTGTCTTCAGAAACCCGATCATCTCTACGATCCCGCACAATCTGCCCGAGCCGTCTCCTCTGGGGGAACTCACAGTGGCAGAAGCTCAACCATGTCTGGGAGAGCATCTCCAAGTCTCTGTAAACACCTGTGTTATCTCCACACAGAAATTCTACTCCTCAGAACACACAGAGAATAAACAACATATGGTTTCCCACATTAATATTCTCCAGGCCTTGGTATTCCTAGGTGCAGTGCCACTGGAATGAATCTACTCCTGCTTTCGATCCTCTCCTCACAGCACCCCAGGCAGATTTAGGCAGTTTACAGTTACAGATAAGCAACTTCAAGGCAATACATATGGAAACCTTTAGCCAGTTGCAAATTTGTGATTACTTCCTCAATACCTTGCACCAAAAAAACCCCTCACCTGATTTGTATTATTTTAAAGAAATAAAACCCGTGGCCTTTATTTGTGTAATTTACTGCGATTTTCACTATGAATGGAGAGGGTTTATATCCAGCTGTAGTTTTCTAGAACCTTCATAATCAGCCATGTGCAATCAAAGTCTGTTAGTAAAAGCTAACAGAGGAGGTAATCAGACCACAAATCTCTCCTGTAGTTCGAAACATAGGGGAAGAATTTACCTTCTGCACTGAGAAGAGCAACCAGCCCCTCAGTGCAGGACACTACAGCTCTTCCTAATTTCTACCAGTAAAAACTCTCAAGGAGAGATGATAAACTTCTACAGCAAAGTTGCTCCTCCTGGAATTCAGAAGAAAATGCCTTTCTCTTTTACATTTAAAGGTAACAGTCCCATGCCACTGGATTAGAAGTGTAAAGCTATCACACAGGGCAGAACATTTTTCCCAGCTCTCCACTGAAGGAGTGGCAGGGGGTGGAGGATCTAATCCCAAACTCTTCATCTCTCTGAATGAATGCCTTTGTCCTGCCTGGCTATCTCCTTGATATCACATGGGTGCAGGCAGCCCAGACCTTTTTTGTCTCCAGACACCATTCAGCACTTCTAGATCTAGCACCAGAAATAGGAGGCAAGTGCCGTCCCTCCCGTCTGGGAATCCCATTCTGGAAATTTTTGAAGTCACATTTTCTCTGTCTGGCTCCTCTGACCATTTATCCTATGGGATATTTTTAGAAAAGCTGAATGCTTTACCATGTGGAGTTCACTGCAAAGACCCTTTAGCTGTAACTCTCAGTCCTGTTCTCCACATGAATCTCAGCTCCTCTGTATTCTGCAGGCCTTTGATGTCCACAAACACAAGAACATTTTTCCCAAATGCTTTGAATACTTGGAAAACTGACAGGAGTGTGATTGCAGGCTAATGTGTGTGTTCATCTGACACACCTTTTCTCTACTAGAGAACCCCTGCTAGCTGCCAGTTCCATATGTTGTAACCATGATTTTGTTTCTCTATCAAAAAGCACTATCTTGTCATTTTAATCTCTTGTTACATGCTCTCAGTTTTCCCAGTATGTTCTGACAGTTGCCACTTGTCCCCTTGCTGGCTCGTGGCAGTTTGTCTCTCCCTTTATTTACTGTTTATGAAACACTGGAACGTGGGGATGGCCATTAATTGCAGCTGGGCACACCTGCTTTCTGCTTTCCAAAGCCTTCTGCTCTGCTAGAAGGCCTTTATTTTACTTTAGAATAAAGGTTTTTATTTCTTTATTTTAGAAGAAGGAGAAGTGTCCTGTTCTCTTTTATACAAAACAAACCTCACGCTGAAATTCCAAGTCAGATTTTTTTTCTCATCTGTTTTGCCTCAGTATTTTTTCCCCTGTAATCAATTTTAAGATACCTGAGGTCAGATTTGCCTGTAAGGTTGAAGAACAAATTGTGTACAGGCAACCCAGAAACATATCTTGACCTACAAGACACGGAAATCATCCTTCCCTCCTACCCTAAATTTTAGAAAACTGGATATATTCACTTCAACTTCCCTCAAAGCACTTGGGAGCAGCTCTTTGTCTAGAAAAGAAAAGAATCAGTCTTTCTTCTGACGATATTTTAAAGGAGGATGAATTAATTTATGTTAAATTTGCCACTTACCCTCCTGCTCACACTTTAGTAAGGATCTATTTCCTCCTGTGTTAAATTTTAGGCACCCAGTGCTGTCTGGGGTGCTGCAGCAGTCCCTCAGTGCTGGGAGCTGTTAATCTGTGCTGTGCAAGCCTTCCCTTGTCTCCAGCAGAGGTCTTATTGTATTTCCATCACTTATTAAAAATAGCTGGTAGTATTGTCAAATTAGTGGGATTAACCTAGTTTAAAAAGGAAATTAGGTCAGTTACTATATTTATGCCCAGCTTCCAACTCTCATGTATTGTTACAGCTCTCTTACATCCTACAAAAGGGGAGTTTTCCTGTGGGAAATACACATTTTTCTTTGTTTCACACTCGAACACAACAGCAAAGGAAAAGTGGAGGGGTAAAGGCTCCATCACTCCTTATCAGTCTCTGCTGGTACAAACTCTTGGCTGTTATAAGAGGTGCTCCATTAGGAGGCTGCTTGTGACAGTGAAGAATTAGGCTGTTACATTCCTATGATACTTGAAACACACCTAAAAATCACACTCCAAACCAGTTTTTGAGCTTATCTCCACTAAAGCACCTGGGAACACCCCTTCCAAACCCACCTCAGTTGGATGAAACAGCCACTGAGAGGAATGCACTTGGCCAAACACCAAGCTACTTGTGCTCCCTGACCGGGGACCAGGAGGGGAAAGGGTGACAACACCCTACAGTACAAGGTCATAAATTCAGAAGTTGTTCATTTAGGCAGGGGAGTCTGTTGTGCATCTCCAAACAGAGCTCTCTCTTCCTCTATTCACCCACAGCTCCCTGGGAGAGCACACCAGGACACAGCTCCTGAGTCTGTTCCTTTCACAAAAACTTCTCTTCTGCCTCCCATTTCCCCATGCCAAGGAATCCTTGTTACTGTCTTCCCAGTGAAAGGGCAAGACTGACTTCTAGGATAATACCCCAAGAGAAAGGCAGAGAGAGAATTACCCCTCTGGCACTTCTCTGAGAATTCTTCCTCTCCAAACCAGTTCACGACCACCCTCTCATACTGAGGCAGGAAAAAAAAAAATCAACACACTGCACTAATGTGGAAGTTAGCCAGCTGGCTATATCTGCATCTAGGAAAAATAACTGGAAGTTAACTGCATGCTTTTTCTTTTTCCCTCCCAGCTTCAGGCTGATCTACAGCTAAAAAAGAGATTGCAATTTCTGCATATTAATTACACTCCAGAAAAGGAGAGAGAGAAGGGAAAGAAAGTAGGACAAATCCAGACTGTGCAGGCCATTCCTTTCCCTGGCAGAACGAGCTGCCACAGTTCAACCTTTAGCATTCCTTGGTATCCATTTCCCTTTCCATGATTACTCCATGCACAGATACTGCTGAGAAAGGCAGAATCTCAAGGAAGCCAAAGATTACTCAGGCAACATGAGAGCTCCTGCAGAAGCACCCCAAAAAATGACTGTACAGAGACGCCTCAGGAATCCTCATCTGCATGCTCATGATTCCTTACCATGGTGCTCCTTAGCAGATGGCAGAGAAAACCTTTTGTGGCTTTTTTTGTTTTGTTTAGTTTTTTCAAAGTGTCCAGAGGGGACAGAGAAGGAACCAGCACTGAGCACATACAGAGTCCCCCATCCCTGTGGCTTGGCTTAAAAGGAGGTGTCTCGGTTACACTGAACAGCATCCTCAGGCAATGCCAGGAATACGCTTAGGGGTGTGCCTGTGAATCCCACTGAGCTGAAACCGCCCATTTTTAGATAAAGGTTTCCCTTTTCCTGTTTCCCAGGAGACCATCTCTGCACGGGAGCAGCAAACTGAGCGCTCCTGAGCTGTGGAGCAGACCCAGGATGTGGAGCATGGTATTGCCTCAACACTCCCCCAGAAGAATTCTGGGTGCAAGAAGAAGGGATCAGTGACAGCAGCATTTATCACTGCTCCAGCACATGCCCTCTTCTACCATGCCTGCAGTGAGAGGGCAAGAGCAAATGGCCTTAAGCTGAGACAGGGGAGATTTACGTTAGATATAAGAAAAAAAAAAGTCACTGTTGCTGTGGCCAGGCACAGGGATAGGTTGCCCAGGGAGGTGGTGAAGTCGTGTTTAAGAGACATCTGGATCTGGCACCAGGTGATAAGGTTTGGTAGCTACAGTGGCGGTGCTGGGTGAAGGGTTGGACTTCATGATCTTCAAGGTTTCTTCCAGCCTTGATGACTCTATGATTCTATGTGTGAGCAGGGGTTTATGTCTGTTAACACCACAAAGCTTTACTAGGCAGCAGCAGCAGCAGCAGCAAGCTCCAAAGCCATAAGCAACCAAATCAACTCACACAGGTCAATGAAATGACAGACGCCAGCTGCAGGACGGACAACTTGACAATAATATGTTTGCAACATCTTTCCTTTTCCCTAGGTCGTTAAGGTCAAGCAGAGTCCCATTTTCAGAGCCTAATAAACGCTTATTTTGCACTGTTAAATGTCACTCCTCCTCAGAGCTAATGGCTTCGAGAGCCACTGATAATCTCTCACTCAAATTCAGTAAATATCACCGCAACTGCTTGACGTTTTGTAGCAGCACGTTACATCCCTGCCTGTTCCTCATCGACAGGAGCATGTCACACGCACACACACACAGAGCAAACACGGAGCTGGGAAAAGGCTCCCACCCCTCCACTCCCCACAGGGGTGGCTGGGGAGGATGTTCAGCTCCTCCCCACACCAGCAAGGACTGACATTTTGCACAGTCCACACGTTTTGTTTTTTTTTACCTTGTAGCAAACATTGCTCTGAGGGAGGAGAAGGTGGCGGCGTCTTCTTTCAGAGCCTTCAGCTCGTTCCGCAGCTTCATCATGGTCTCTGTCACCATCGCTTTCTCATTCTCATACTTGCTTTTTAAGTTGGCAAGGGCTACCTCTGCAGTCTGTTGGTTACCAGGAAGAATGGAAACGTCACATTTAATGAAGCTCCTCACCAAATGGCTGGCTAAGAGATTTCTAACCACTACTCACACAATGAAGCATTTACTTTGCACTGGAATGTTAAACTTGCCGTCAACTTTCTTACACAGATAAAATAAAACTTCATTTCTGGACATTTGGAACAGACACAGGAGTCTCCTACTCCCATTAACCATGCAGCAACATCGAGGATGTTACAGAATACACAAGTAGTGACACCTCCAAATACTAAAATAAAACTTTATAAAATACTTCAACACAAAGGAATGAAAAAGTCTGTTTAGTATCTTGATATTTAAATGCATTTGTCAGACGCACAGCTCTCTAACCCTTATAGCATTCTGCCTATCTTACATGTGGGACACCCTTATTAAAATGTGCAAAAGAAAACTTAATGCATCATTCTTAAACAACATTGTACCTTTTTTTTTTTTTTTTAAAGACAACTTCAATTTACATTGCTTTAGCTGTAGAGGAGATGACAAGGCATGTCACACGGCGTTTTAGTGGCAGTTATTTTCATCTACTACACTGCTAATGTGTGTTGAGTGTCACAGACCAATCTCCCAAGACTAATTTTATCTTTCACCCATTACTTTGACCATGTTCTTATACTGCATCCTCATCTTGGAAGGCTCTCTTCTATTCTGCAGTTCAAGAGAGGAGAGTACTTAAGTTTCAGAACTCTTCAAGGGTAACTACTCGAATTCTTTCAAGTGAAAAATAAGATTTACCTCTTCATTTTAGGTGTCTCACATTAAAAACAAGCTGATCTAATCCAGACAGACAACAGACTGAAGTCTCAATAAAGTCTCATGAGTATGTGACTGCTGAAGTCAGTTCTAGCCCCAGCTCTCAGCTTTACAGAGCTGGGTGCCTCCAATGAACAGCCCCCTTCAGCCTCAGACTAGACAAACATCAGCACCCCAAAGCCCCACAGAGCTGGGGGAATGGTAGTGTGACCTCAAAGATAAATTCCTTTGTCCTTCTGCCCCAATTGCCTGACCTTGTGACCTTCCCACCCGTACCACCTGGTTACCTGTTTGTTGGCCTTCAGCACGGTTCTCAGAGTCGCAATCTGCTCCCTCTTGGTGCTCAGCAGCGACTTCAGCTTCAGGATTTCTTCCATGAGGGCTTCCTTGTCCTTGTCCACCACGGGCCCAAGCTCTTGAGTGGCGACACGCTGCCTGGACAGCTCGGTGGTTCTGTCCACAGCAGCCTGCAGGTGTTTGATCTGGTCCCGAATGATGGCGATCAGGTTGTAAATGTTCATGGGTTCCTTCCGCGGGTCGGACACGGGGGACGGCAGAGACGACACCGGGGATGGGCTGCTGTCACCACTCCCGTTCTCTGCCTTTCCCAGCTCAATAGTTAACAGCCCTTTGGAAAGAAGAATGGGAGACCTTCTTCCCTTGGCCTCTGGGCTGCTGCGCCCACCTTTCCCTTCCTTGTAGTAGTCCAGCATCACCCTGTTCGGAGTTTCGTTGTTGCACATGCAGACGTGGTGGTACAAATTGGCCAGCTCCTCACTGAAGGTGACCAGTTCATCCTGGGCCACGCTCAGGCTGCCCTGTGTTTCCCCAGCAACATCACTGACTTTCTTCAGCTCCTTCTCCAGCCTGGCCACCTGCTCTCTGTCATGCCTACTGGACTTTTCCAGGGAGGTGATCTTTTCGGTGAGAGCCTGGTTCTCGGTCTCATATCTACTCTTCTCCTCCTCATATTTAGACTCACATTCTTTGTATTTGGCCTTCAAATTTTTGAGCTCTTCTTTTAGGTCAGTAGTTTCTGCCACGGCCACCTTGTACTTGCACTCCAGGATCTCTGGCCCGTTGATGTCGACCTCGTAATAGTCCCCATCCTCGTGGCTGTCTCGGTCCTTCTCGTTGTCGAGGGCAGACTGACGTTCCTTGCTGGCCTGCAGCTTCTTCATGGCGTTCAGGTTTTCAGTGAGCCTGCCAACCTTCTCGTGCTGCTCTGAGAGGGCCCCCCGTGTGTTTTCCAGCTGCTTCTGAGATTCCTGCAGCGTCGTTAACAAGTTCACCTTTTCTCTTTCCATCTGAAGAGCAGGAACACGGACATTTACATGAAGGGAACTGTACCACTTAAAAAGGGTTTTATTCTAACAGACAGCAACTTAGCCAAGGGTCCATATGGTTGCAGTGATCCAATCACTTGCACATTATGCAAAAGGCTATATAATGTGTTCTAAAATTATCTCAAGTACAGTGTTCACTGCCAACTCTTTCTCATTTCCTCTTTAAATAAATGCACATTTTTACACATTTATTCCCTAGCTGATGGTCTCATTGTAAAAACATCCTTTCAGCTAAAGACAAGATAAAGTTTATTATTACCAAACAAATATTACAAAACGTGCAGCTCGTCTGTGGGGAAAGCTTGGAACTTCATGAAAAGCTCAGAAATACCAAAACAACAAACATTTAACATCCTCTAATTCTAGATCAACCAAAGCCTTTGCAAACACAATAATGAACTCCATGGTGGCCACACGAGATACTGAAAAGCCCAAAATTATTACACCCCAAACAAACTCTAGGGGGCTATTCGGGAGCACGCCATTCTTTAGGGAAAAACCCATTTACCTGCACGAGCTGCTGCTTCAGCTTCTGGATTTCGGAAATGTTCAACTCACTCAGAAGATCTGAGACCAGACTGGGGGCTGGAGGGAAGCTTTCGTTCTTCTTGGGGGTCGAGGTGCTGTTCTTGCCGCCGCCGCCGCCGAGCTTGCTGAGGCAGTTCTGCTCAAACCCGTTCATCACCTCGTCGTTGTTGGGCTCCGTGGCTTCGTCGCTGAACTTCAGCCCATCCAAGGAGATGTTCAGGTGGCTGTTGTACATGGAGTCGTTGATGTTCATGTAGTGGGACAGCTCCTTGCGGAGGTTGTTCTTCTGCTCCCGCTCTGTCTTCAGCGTCTCCAAGGCCTCCTCCAGCTGGCGCTCCGAGATCTCCTTCAGGCGGATGGCATCCTCCAGCTGGCTGTTGAGAAACTCGGTTTCCTCTTCCAGCCTTTTGATTTCGTGTTTCAGGCCTTCAAACTCCACCTGGAGACACACAGATGGAGGGGGGAAAAATAAAAAAACCCACCTCTAATGGAAATGTCTGCCTGCCGGGCATTTTGCTTCTTGAATGTTTGATTTCACTCGAATACGGTGGAAATACAAAACTTTTGTAGTTTCTGGAGTCTGGTTTTGGCGCTTTGGCTGTGCCAAAAAACATGGCTCATGGAATTTACCTTCACAGAGACCATGGACTAAAATTACCCAGCAAATTGTCAAATGAGCTGATCTATTCCAGCTTAATTAGGACAGGTGGGAGATGCAGTGTGTGATACAGAGGCATCCCAAAACAGGCTTTCCTAGCACAGCATGCAAACATTTTCTCTGTTTAACTAACAAATTCCCTGGCCAACCTTCCCACAAAGCCAAGCTCCACATTCCCAAAACCCAGCATGGCAAAGCTACGCTTCTGACACTCTGTGCTGCACTGCCATTAGAACACACCACCGGGTTAAAACTGCGGTCAAGATTTGCTTTTATACACTCAAAATAAAATGTTTTATCATTTTTCTCATCATCCTTTCAGCACATCTTGGGAGGGCTACAGTTCAGACTCTACACTTCAGACTCACACTGATGAGTTTGATGACATGCTGGATGTTTTAACCTGTAAAACTGCATTTTTTTAAAATCTCTCTCTTGCCCTGAAATGATGAACACCAACGATTAATGTGAAATTCTGAATCACTTGGGGGAAGTAGGGAGGAAGAAAGCTTAAAGAGTATTTTTCCTTGCCCTGAAAGAAAGGAAATCATACCACATGATATATGACACTATTTATTTTTGCCAGTTGCTAAATGAATTTTAGATGCCAACACTGAACAATCTGGGAGTGCTGTACCACACCCAACTTACAAACCAAGAACCATCAAGCACGTTATGTTAATTCAGTGATGCAAGTTAAGCCTGGGAAAACTCGATGGCTGCTTCTAGTTATGTCAGCAGGATAATTAAAAGCTCATCAAATAAAGTTCTTCGAGGTAGAAAATGAAATAATCCATTGCCATGAAACAAATGAGCCCTTGATTCTGTATACAGCCACTGAGATCAAATATTTCAGATTGCAGTCCGTTTTCAGAGATTCCAGAACACAAACACAGCAGTCAGTAACTACCAGCAACTATCAGGACGGCATCTGAGGTCAGGTTTGGCTCAGCCCAGAATGGCAGCATCTCTGAATATGAATATTGTTCAGAAACACCCCCGTTTCCAGACACTGTACAAGAGGGAGGGTGGATGGATGGAGAGGATTGTAAAGAGACACTCAAAAACTGGTGGAGCAAAAGGTCTACACCAAGCAACAAAACAGAGTGGCAGAGACTTTGCTTTCATCACAGCGAGAGAAGGCAATGGAAGGACTTGGAGGTCAAAGTAGAGGCAATAAAGCATTACGACTTAAACATTTTGGGACAACTCTTGGAGCTAAAATATAGAACATACAGTCTCAAAAGTAGTACAACCATAAAGAAGTGGTTGGATGTTCAAATGAGACAGGAATTGCAACACAGGAATTAACTGGTGCTACCAAAGCAAACCTCCCTGGTTGAAAAACTTGCCTGATTTTGCTTCAGGACAGACACTTGTTTCTGGAGACAGATGTTTTCCTCTTCCAGCTCAGTGTAGTCTTGCAGCAAGCGTGCTTCTCGGAATTTGTATTCCTTAATATCATCTCGCAGACGGGCCCTTTGGATCTCCACGTTCTGGTTGACCTGGAAGAACAAACCAACCCCCAAAATGATGGTGATTTTGTCAGCTACAATTAAATTTCAAAATTTTACATCTTTCTTTACGTGCACTAATCAATTATATTCTACTGAAACAGAAACCCTTCCCCACGCCCCCTGAAATCACAGAAAGCTACACCATTTACGTATTTATGCATAATTACATGTTTTTTTTTTCTTCCTTCTCTTGACTCAGAAAAAGTCAAGAAACAAGCAGGGAAACCAGCATTCCCACCTGTGTCATCCCACTGGTTGCAAATGACAGGCAAAAGCTTTCCAGACTAGAAGTCAGTGTCCAAATCTGTTCCCCCTTTAACGAGAACAGCCTTTTCACCAGAGAAAAACAGATTCAGGTGACTCCAGATGTTCTTACTCGGACATGTACTTGCTGCTGCTCTTCAACAGGTATTTTCTTTGTGCCCAGAGCAATCATCTGAAAATGTGTTCTAAGGGATTCTTTTGGAGAGGAGCACTGAGTTAAAACTCAAATGAAATTCAAGATTTCAGGTAGGAAAAAACAGAAACTGTGGTTGACTTAGAAAATCTTCCCTCCCCTCAGCCCCAAGACTTATGCAAGATCTTAAAGAAAGGCTTAAAAGAAAAAAAAAAATAAATCACCATTGTTTCAAAATAGGTAAAAAGTCAAAGCCAATATGTTGGTGTAGTATGATCTTTGGATCTTTCATGAATAGACCACAGACCCCTGAATAAACTGAGCTGGCCCATATCCAGCTACGGGAACGGCTCACTGTACTTAGCTTTTATTTTTTTTCCAGTGTTATTTTCCTTCAAGCCACATCTTCAAACACCTCATTAAAACAAAGTGAAAAATTTGTTCTAAAGCACCAACAGAACTAGGTAGGCAAACAGGCACTACACTTGTTTACAGAGGAGGGATCCACACAAGTAACCACACAGGTACCAACAGGCACCCACAGCACACGGAGATAAGGGAATGTTGGCAGCAGGAGCCCGTGCCAAGACTTGAATCTGGCGTGTCCACAGGCACAGAGTCACCTGCGACTGTTCAGACCCATAAATTTAAATTACAGCTCCCTCACGTGCCATTTCAAGATTAGGCTATATAAACTTGCCCGCTTATTTTTAGCAACAGAGAGCAGAGACTGAGGAGCCAAAACTGCTGCAACCAGGCACTGACAGTACAGCAGGGCGAAGGATGAGCTGCTGTATCCCACATTCCACGCCTGAGGAAGTGCTGGCTCCACCTCTGCACGAACCCAGGGCCGCGGGGAAAGCTCGAGGCTCACGTGAGCTCACATCTTTATGTCTCCATAACAACTGCAATGGAGACCTCCAGCCAGATGAGCCATCCTGTTCAACAGGACTGCAAGAGGCTCCACCAAACAAATCATCACACTGTTTTCCCCCGTTCCCAAATAAGTGAGACACAAGGGAAGACCTCCCACAAAGCTACTGGCGAGCTTCTCCCCCCCACCATTCAGGCTGCTGTGCTCCTCTTCCTCTTTGGATGAGCTAATCTTTGCAGAGGTCAATGCCTGAAGGAACCTTTGGGAACCGTCTGGTGTAAAGAAAGAATGGTTTCTGTCCAGCCCTGCCTGTTTCATTCAAAGCAACAGCAAGAGCTCATTATTTAATGTGAGAGTATTGTTGTGCTTGTCTAGCACAAGAAAAATCATTCCATTTCCATGTGTGCAGGAAGGCCAGGTTTAAAAATAGCTCCCTTGTTTCCTGACCGGGGGAGATCTAACCCAGATTTATTGGCTGTTTAGCAAGCTGTGCATTCAATTTGCCCTCAGCATTCCCCTGTCAGATAAATGTGCATGCTTGCAGAGCTGCAAGGTTCAACTGGATGCCGTGTGACCCTGTATAACTGACCAAAAGGTGGGATTTTTCTGCAGGAAAGAGAAGCTAAAGATACCACACCCTTCCTTGATCAGATACAGAAGTGGGGAGTTTGAATGTTCCTTTGACCCTTGTGGCTTCAGTGGCTCAAGGGCATCTCTTCCTTCCTCCTCTGCCCTGAGCACCCCCTGGACACCCCCCAGGGGAGAAGAGGGGTTGGGACACATGGCAATGTCTGGCCAGGCTCTTGGCTGTACCAGGTCACCCCTCCACCCAAAGCAGATCACACAGTGCCAATAATATATCAAAGTGTTGTGTGGAGAACTCACAGCCATAAAATCCCACCGAGTGTTATTCTACCTGACAAACCCCTCAGCTTCCCAACCCAGAGAACATTCCCACCATGCAGAACCCTCCCATCCACCCTGCCTAAGAAAAGACTGTGATCTGTAAGAGATTTTGCCTGATCTAAAGGGTACAGACTGCCTGCAGCATTTCCACCCTCTCAGCTCTGCCTCAGAAGGTTCTGAGAGAGGCCCCTCTGAGTAGCACTGTTACTACAAAGAGCAGGAATTCCTTCAGGATCAAGTCTGAATCCACCCTTGCCTGCCTGTCAAAAACAACAACTACTGTCCTGCAACACTGCCAGAACCCTGCTTTTTCTAGGACGCTCCAGCATATAAAACTTATGTGTAATTTGACCCTGAGAATTATAATAATTGAGAGAAAAATCTCAGGTAGCTGATTCCTTCCCTTGCTTTGGGCACTGCACAGTGGCCTCCAGGTCACCAGCCAGAGGGTGATCTTGCAAGCCAACCTGTGCCACTAGCAGGGGTTCTGTTGCCCTGAACTTCACCAGCTCATGAGGTCAGTTCGAGTTCCCTGCTGTAGTAACACGCTCACACCTGATTTTACTGATCTGTCGTCATCGAAAGCCAAAGCTTAGTTTGCTGAAATTTACTAATTCTAGGATTAGATTTAATTCTTCTAAGTATATCTAGGTATGATCATTCCCTCGTGTTATTCACGGGAAGGAGTCACAAAAAAAGGATGCTGATGGTGGAATAAACACAGTGCAGTCAGACAGGACATCAACTCATATGTATATATTCTGTTGCCGTGGGGAGGAGAAAAATCATGGAATCATTTACATTGGACAAGATCCCTAAGATCATTATCACTAACAAAAAACTGCCAAGTCCACCAAAATAACCAGTTAAATCACCTCTTAGACATCTGAATTACAAGCTTACAAGTTGGTTTGGTTTTTTTTTCCCCCCCCTCTTGTTTTCTTATAGATACTAATCAAAGCACTAATATTTAAAAGAGAAAAAAACCCACAAACATTCCATTGGATCCAACTGTTTGTTACATCAGCAAAAGGTCTGGAAACCTGAACTTTCAGTACTGCAGTGAAGTTCACCTGCACAACACGGCAGGAATCAGTATTAAGCCTCGATACAACACATATGTCCTCTTATATAAGTCATTGCTTGCTCCCTGCTCAAACATTTTATCCCAACCAAAGCTGGCTCTCCCAACCCTTCCCTTGCCAATATTATTTTGTGTGAGAATGGAGGGTTAACACCTGGGCACACGTGGCAGTATCTACTTCTGTTTAAGCTCCCTGCTCCAGTGATGCTCTCCAACTGCAAGCTAAACCCCCAAGAGGGGGTTTAGCTTGCAGTTGGAGAGCATCACTGGAGGATAACCACACCTGACCCCCAGCCACAGGCTGTAGCTGCCCACCCAAGTGGGGCAATCTTTGCCCAGGAGCCTGCTGGGCACTAAAGTCGAGGTGTCTGGCACCGGTGCAGGCCACACAGGCAGCAGCAGTGTGATATCGTCACAGAAACAAACAGATCCACCGCGTAGAAAAACCTGGGAGGGCTGGGATGAGCCTCATGATCAGCAGCTGGGGGGGCAGTGGTAGGTCTTCTGAGATCAGACTGTTAAAATCCATCTGAAATAACCCATTTTAAAACTGGAACAAGTCAGCGATTGTTCATGGTTTCGTTTCCAAACGGTGATCTCATCATCTGTAAAACTGAGCCATTTCCAGGAGCACGAGAGGGGAGCCCACTCCCACTGTGCATTTCCAGCCATCCTCCTTCTTCCAAGACCCTTGTCTGTCCTCCTGGGGCTCTGGGCAGCAGGTGAGCCTGTGCTGGGCACCTCAGCCTCGGCTGATGGTGTGAGTCTGGGTGGAAAACACTGACCCAGACTAACAACAGTGTTATAAATGCAGTAATGCTGCTCCTCAGCCTTCCCCTCCTGCACAGCTTTGCTTGCTTCCAGCAGTTCAACTCCAGCTGCTTTTCAAATCTCAAATCTAAACGCTTGGCAGCTTTCCACGTCCTTCCCTGCCACAAGGAAAAACATTTAACCCTTCCAAGGCCCGCCAAATAAACTTTTAGGTTTACAAATAAACTTTTAGGTTTACAAATAAGCTTTTAGGTTTACAACAGCCCCTCTGCATTCAACAGCCTGTCATTCCCCCAGGTTTGGGAGGACGTGGGGATGTTGTTCCCTGGGGGATGGCTGAACTCTGATAAACCTCGGGGACATCTGAGCTCAAGCTCTGACTGCGGCAATTCTCCCTATGGATGCAAACCAGCAAGGAAAGATTAAACACGCTTCCAGAAAGCAAAATGAACACCCAACCAGCCATACTGACACACAGAGCTCCTCTGTGGGCTTGTCTACAGCCCACATGCACAGGAGGAAAGTTGTCCCAAAGAGGTATTTCAATCAGTAGCTTTAAGTCATATTTAATTTTTTTTTAAAAAAGCATATCGTTACATCAAACAGATCTGTTTATATTTCAGATTGAGGCTGCTTATTAAAAAAGCTAATAACCAAAATCATTCACCCCTGGATCTGCACTTCTTGACAGCAAACAAGCACAAACCCCAGCCCAGTGGAGTGGTGAGGCTCTGCCCAGGGAAGCTGCAGCGACTCAGAGGAAAAGTTACAGAGAGAGAGATCACAAAGCAAACTCTGAGCCAGTAACGTGCTGCAATTGATTCCAGATCCTTGAAAGCTCTCGGGGTTTCATTTCCTGAACCAAAATTAGATTCTTCTGATGCACCAGGTGTCTTAGGAGACTCCAACACATGCAATCCACTGCGACAGTCAGAACTGACCCACTTTCCTTTCTG